AAAGTTGGCTTTATCATTTTTTAATTAATACTAAAGATTTTATTACCATTAACAAACTTAATGTGAACTTGCGTTTACAGTTTATGAAGTTCGTAGAATTACTCCAGTTTGAATTTTCGACGGTATGAAATTTTTTCTACTATATTACGTAAATGTATTTGTTATATTAAGTTTAACTACCGAGTATGTAAAACCTATAAACTTTTTCTTACTACTGAAGCTGTAAGAAAAGTTCTGTTGCGAGTTGATGTGTTTTCGTAATTAAGAAACTACTTCCGCAGTGGCGAAATTGTGACTTGTGAGCCATACATATAGTACTAACTATAATGTTTTAACTGTGTATAATATAAAATATCATTTTAATCATTTGTCTATCAGAATGTAGGCAATATATATGGCTTCTATCACCATAACGGCTGACCACTTCCAAACTATTTCATCAAAAATGTGAACTTTTATGTTTACAGTTTACAAAAGCCTTAGAATTGTTAATCTTTTTCTAGTCAAGGAGTTCTATTTCTTATATTTAAAATTAAACAATTTCAGGATAATAATTGTATATGTTTATTATGTAATTTTGCTTTAAATTTTTATTTTATTTTCATATTTTAGTAGAGGACTGCTAACCACTATAATTTTATTAATAAATACAATGACCAGGACGACATTAATATTTTAAAAATAGAAAGAAAACTATGTCTTCGTTATAGTGTGTGAAAGGACATAATGAAGACATTTATAATTTCTTTTATTTCTTTAAATATTAATGTCATCTTCCCAATGTATTAATTAATATATTTTTATCATTTTATTGTGCCGTCATCTTTGATGTGTTTGTAATTGTTTTTGCATATTACAGTGGATGAGTGGCCTCCAATAAAAGGTTATAATGAACATGTTTCTAGTTTCTTCTATTTTTTAAACACTATAATTTTATCTAGAATTTTTTGCTTTTAACTTTTGTATTAACATTTTAGTTAAATAGTTTTTCTCAGTTTTTAGCTTAATCATTGGCTAGACTCTTCCCCTCTTCTGGGAGAGGCAGTTAAAAATTTGATTTTAACCATATGCATTATATAAATCAGTGGTTTCCGGATTATTTTCCCATGACCCACATCGATCATAGAGTCGGACAGAAGGGTGGATGGAGGTGGACATAGAAGAGGGGCCGGATGTGGGCGAACAAGATCGTGTTTCTCCAACAACTCGACGAATTTTTCTCACTTTACTTAACTTTCCCGGATCGTTGGGTACTCCAAGAAAAATAAATAAATAAATAAAGATATTTTTTGTTTATAATATATTTTTTTTCTTCTGATTGATGCCGGAGGTTTTTAAAAACATTAATATTTATTCGTTGGTGACACGTTAATAGACAGGATTCATTGGAGGAATATAATAGGCAATTCGCACACGTCGTATATGTCAAATTCGAGAGATGACAGGATAGTGGCACGAACTCCATCCTGATTATCTATAGCTTGCCGCGTGTCAGCGGAATCTGCCCAACCATCCATCAACAGTTATCCAGTTTCCATAGAAACTCCCGGCAGACATCAGTTACTCTTACTACTGTCCCGTTTTATTTTCGGTTCCGTAATCGAGTTAGCCGAACGCTAATTACCGTTTCAATCTCCCTTAACGCCGTTAACTGTAAATTAGATGGCGTTTTTCTGGTTATTTTCCACTGGTTAATGCGGCATTGAAATATTGCCCCTTATTGCATCCTGCTCGGCTTCCTCCTCTGCTCTCTCTCTAACCCTCCCCTCCTCTTACATACGGTTCCCTTGGAAGTTAGAACTGAAAGATGAAGGTTTTAGCATTGCCTAGCTTGAGATGGAAATTAAAACGAGTCGACGAGAAACGTGCCATATATTACCATTCTTGTTTTCGGACTTATTGATGATTTTTCATGGATGTCGGCAGAGATGGATGAATGCTTATGGCCAACAATTTATAATTTTGCCAATTTTGCTTGGAGCAGTTAGAGGAAATTTACAAAAAAATATAATATAAAAGTTAATTATAATCCTCCTGTTTTTTTTTCTTCTCTAGTTATTATTAAGTTAGGGTCTTGTTTTTTTTTTTTTTTGTAGGCTTCAGTTTGGCTTTGGATAATTTTATTATGGTCTGTGATTAAAAATTTATAATTTAAGGTGTAATTTAAAGATTTATTTTGAATATTTTAATGAAATTATTACAGTCTCATTACAGAAATTACTTTTATTTATAGTTGAAACCTGTAACAAATTCTAAATTTAGTGTACAAGATGATTGAATCAAATGGGATTTGAGAAGTCAGTTTTATTTTTGAATTTTCTTCTTAAATAACATCTTTATCTACTTTTATAAATGTATTTAAATAATTTTTAAATGCTATTGTTCTTTATAAATACATATGATGATGTCTTATCGACAAACATTGTCTCCCTCTAATGACTAGTGACCCCATATTAAAGAAATACATTAACATTCACTTACAACTTCAGGTAAAAAATTGTAAAGTTGGCTTTATCATTTTTTAATTAATACTAAAGATTTTATTACCATTAACAAACTTAATGTGAACTTGCGTTTACAGTTTATGAAGTTCGTAGAATTACTCCAGTTTGAATTTTCGACGGTATGAAATTTTTTCTACTATATTACGTAAATGTATTTGTTATATTAAGTTTAACTACCGAGTATGTAAAACCTATAAACTTTTTCTTACTACTGAAGCTGTAAGAAAAGTTCTGTTGCGAGTTGATGTGTTTTCGTAATTAAGAAACTACTTCCGCAGTGGCGAAATTGTGACTTGTGAGCCATACATATAGTACTAACTATAATGTTTTAACTGTGTATAATATAAAATATCATTTTAATCATTTGTCTATCAGAATGTAGGCAATATATATGGCTTCTATCACCATAACGGCTGACCACTTCCAAACTATTTCATCAAAAATGTGAACTTTTATGTTTACAGTTTACAAAAGCCTTAGAATTGTTAATCTTTTTCTAGTCAAGGAGTTCTATTTCTTATATTTAAAATTAAACAATTTCAGGATAATAATTGTATATGTTTATTATGTAATTTTGCTTTAAATTTTTATTTTATTTTCATATTTTAGTAGAGGACTGCTAACCACTATAATTTTATTAATAAATACAATGACCAGGACGACATTAATATTTTAAAAATAGAAAGAAAACTATGTCTTCGTTATAGTGTGTGAAAGGACATAATGAAGACATTTATAATTTCTTTTATTTCTTTAAATATTAATGTCATCTTCCCAATGTATTAATTAATATATTTTTATCATTTTATTGTGCCGTCATCTTTGATGTGTTTGTAATTGTTTTTGCATATTACAGTGGATGAGTGGCCTCCAATAAAAGGTTATAATGAACATGTTTCTAGTTTCTTCTATTTTTTAAACACTATAATTTTATCTAGAATTTTTTGCTTTTAACTTTTGTATTAACATTTTAGTTAAATAGTTTTTCTCAGTTTTTAGCTTAATCATTGGCTAGACTCTTCCCCTCTTCTGGGAGAGGCAGTTAAAAATTTGATTTTAACCATATGCATTATATAAATCAGTGGTTTCCGGATTATTTTCCCATGACCCATTTAAATATTAATAAATTTTTACGACCCCCAATAGTAAATCCATACTTAATTTATTCATTTACTTTTCTTAAATGGTAAAATTGTTATAATTATTTTGACTGTATGCTAAAAATATTTTACAAAAATTCATCACTTCTTATTGTACTTTTATCTGTAAATTTGATTTTATTTTTTAAACTCTTTCCATCCTGAGGGCACTAAGAGGGCCCCCCCTTTTTTTTCTTTTAGCAAGCCATTATCGGTTTGTCCAGGCCTACAGTAGGACAGCTGGGTGGTCAGGGATGGGAGACAGAGCACTACCCAAAAAATTCTCAGGATTATTTGATCCTGGGTTCCAAAAGCAGTAGACTGTCATCTTAACCACTTGGCTATCTTTTAAATTAGATATAATTTTAAAAAATTTAATTGTTCTCCTGGCTTTTTCCTAGTTTATTAATAATATTTTTTAGTTTCAATATAATTAAATAAGATTTTAGAATATTTGTGTTGGAATTTGGTCAGTTGTATGGATACTGGAAAACTTGCATAGTATGTTTTTATGCTATTACCAGACAAATGTTTTATGCTGAGACCTGTATTCTGATGATAAAAGAACATACAAAATAGAAATAATATAACAATTCATATAAATCACTTGGTGCAAGTGGCATTCCACCAGCAAGGAAACTGTTGGTTGAGTTGTAAAAGAAAAAGAACTTTGAATAGAATGTTATTAATTAGTTAATCAGGTATTGTTGCATTATGTTTAAATTTTTTATCTGGAATCTTTTTAAATATTCTTTGCAGACGGACAATAATTATAAAAAAATAATTTATAATTTTTTTGACCCCATAAAAAAACATTATTTCCAAACATGGGATAATCACCTCAATTGGCGTCTTGACACCATGTTTGGAAACCACTGATATAAATTATAAAAATTAGAAATCTGTATAATTTAAGCTAATTTTAATTGATTGACTAAAATTATTCGGAGATTTAGTATTAAAGGATGTGAATATAAGAATAGACTGAAAAATGTTCATCTGCTATTATTCCCTCTCTGTAGGCACTAAGGGTCTTTTTAATCATACTGATTGTGAGTTAGGCCATGCTCATAATGGGGTGACATAACCATGATAGGACATAATATGTTTGGGATAGACCATCGCTGAAAAGTTTCTAGGGTTTGACTGCTCAGTCCAGAGCAGTAGGTTGGCATCTAATCCCTTGACCATCCAGCCAAACTTCTTTAATCAGAAAGTTAATTATAACTTTTAATTGACATATTTTTCAATCTTTCTTAACGATCTTTTATTTAAATACTGACTAAAGTAACCTATATGTAAATTATTATTATTATTATTATTATTATTAAACTATTTGTTTTATGACATTAAACAGGAATTTCTTCAACAATTGAAAAATACGGGAACGTCCGAAAATATTGGCAGTATCATTGGCCAATTTGGAGTTGGTTTCTATTCTACATTTATGGTAGCCGACAAAGTAGAAGTGTATTCTAGATCATATAAAGAAGATGCTAAATCATACAAATGGACAAGTGATGGGTAAATACAATATGTTATAAACATTATATAATTTATTACAACATAAACTTCATAGATGGATTAATGGATTAATCCATCTATGAAGTTTTATGCTGCACATTCACATTTATTAAAAATTAATAACATCTGTTGCCACAATGCATAAGATACATTTAGAATAAGCATTCCTTTTTATATGTAATCTATAGCATGATTTCTTAACATCACATGCACAATACCGTACTAAATATTTGGAAAGTTTGAAACAGGAAGTGATCCAGATTTTCTGGTTTTCTGGACACAGGCTAAATATAATAAGTAAACAATGAAAAGTAAAGAACAATATTGTATTTAAAACACTGTGTGCAAGCAGTTACACTGGAACTGGCATTGTGTAATGCATAAGTTGTAAAACAAAAAGAACTTTGAATAGAATGCATAAGTGAATTTTGGACGTCGGAGAACTGGATACACAAGATTATATCAAGTAGGATCCATCTTGATAAAAAATTTTTCAAAAAATGACTATTTTCCACCCTGGACCATTTTTTCCGAAATTGGAGTGCCGTTTAACTGAAATTCGCTACGGCATCGTTACGACTAAGTTTTGTGACTTGTGTTACAAAATTTCATGGTTATAGGTGCATTTTTAGATATTTTTTCGTGTTACTTCTGGTCGGTCGTCGAACTCAAATTGCGGGCTTCCAGTTTGATATTTTGGAAAGATACTTGGGTACTTCTTTCTATCCCCTTTTAGTAAGCTAAATTGAAATTTTTATTAAAATCGGTCCACTAGTTTTTGATTTATGGCTGGTCTCGTATTCATTCCAAAATCAACATTTCAACTTTTCTTAAGTTGTTATGATAACGGCCATTGAGCTTTTGCTTTGAACATTATAGGTTAATTACCGGAAATCGGCTATTTCTTAATTAATTATTAATATAAATATAGACTGTTATATATTTTTGAAATCGGCTCTTTATAAGGATTTTATTTATATCATTTATAATATTATTGGATTATTATATAGTGAATTATTAACTTTCCTCTACAATGACTTCACATATCATTGAGGAGTTCTTGGATAAATCTAATGAAACTTTAGATGAAATTAAAAGATATGCAGCTGACAACCCTAAAGGGCATTTTAGCACAAAACAGCATGTTAATTTTATAACTGATCAATTTACAAAAATGATTAGGCTTGCTGAAAAGGCATTATTGAATATCGGCTCATTGTTTACTTCGTTGGAAAAATGTAACGATAATCAACAATTGATAATAAAGAAACTTGATGACATTGAGGACAAGGTCTCTCATCATGTTCTCCCTGCACCTTTGTACAGTTCAGTGGTAAAACAAGGAAGGCAATTGCAGGAATGCCATGAGGTCGTCCATCTGCTTCATCAAGAGAAGTTTTACTGGTATACAGTAAAAATAAAGAAAATAATAATAGCGATGCCATGAGAAAATTAATGCAGACCAAGATAACACCATCTGATTTACATATTGGGATCGACAATCTATGCAAGATAAGTGGTGGGGGAATCGCTGTGGAGCTAGGTGGCTATGGTGATGCCGCAAAACTAGAGGAAAGCATTAAAGAAAATATCCCAGATCTTATTACATGCAAACCTGAGAAAAGATTACCTCATGTGGTGCTATTCTCTGTCCATACGGACATTCCTAGGGAGGACCTTCCTCATCAAATCTACATTCAAAATAAATTGATAGAAGAAACATACATCGAAGAGGAATTTCTTAAGCAATTCCATGTCAAATTTTAGCTGGAGAAAAAAGAGACTACATATAAGAATTGGGTGGTGGACGTGTTCCCTCTTCTATGGAAGTCACTCTTGAAATTAGGTAAGATAAACATAGAATGGTCATGCTGCAGGATAGTGGACTTTAGTCTGGTCCTGCAGTGTTATAAATGCTGCCAGTTTAACCATTCCGCGAAAGACTGTCCGCAGTCTGTATATATGTGCAGTCAATGTATGAAGGACCTCACTTACAAAGATTGTCCACATAAAAAAGAGGATCCCATATGTTGTAATTGCCATCAAGATAAAACAAAAAACTGCAAGCACAATGCTCGAGATAGTACATGTCCAGTATATCAGCAAATTAAATCTCTTATTTTTCTAAGAACTGATTATGGATCGGGAGAGTAAGATTTATTTAAGTATTCTGCAGTGCAATTTATAAAGAAGTATCTTGGCTACTTCTTTGCCGTAAGCAGTTAAAATATTATGAATTGGCACTGATACAGGAACCATATTGTTGGAAAAACATTCCATCGTGCCTCCTCACCTTCTGCCCTATCCTTAAAGGAACAAATCAATTCCCTTGGGCCATTACCCTCATGCCAAATACTAGTTTATCAATACTTTATCATGAGAAGTATAGTAATGAAAATATCATTGTCTCGGAGATGATGATTCAGGAAGAAAGAATCATTATTCTGAACATTTATTTCCCGGGAGGAGTTGACAGTGAAAGTTTTATTGATGATTTACAAAGAATAGTCGAAGCTTTTCAAGGGATTCATATAATTATGGCAGGGGATTTCAATGCACATTCCTCTGCTTGGGGAGGGAATAATTTGGACAGATGGGGCCGTCTTCGTGAAGAATTCTTGGCATATAATGATCTGTTGATCCTGAATAATCCCTTTTCACCCTCCGCTAATTCTGCAAGAGGTAGCTCATGGATTGACGTGGCTTTTTATAGTGCTGGTTACTATACTAGGATTGAAAACTGGAAGGTACACCCTGATGAAACATTAAGTGACCATGATTACATTGCCTTTGACCTTACTGGTACTGAGGATAATCACACCTTGATCTCTACTCCTCCATGTAAGTATGCTCTAAATATGGCTGCCTATGGTTGTTCTCGAGAAATGAAGGAATTTCTCGAGAACAACCTTACTTTTAGCTATTCGGAAGATCCCGTGGATTCTAGAAATCAAATTGACATTAACATACAACTTATTTCAAAGGCTTTTGAGACTTTTATTCCAAAAAAGGTTGTGACTAGGAAAAGCATCCCATGGTGGACAGTAGGGCTGAGTGATTTATGAAGAAGAACAAAAAGATTAAGGAAAATTTATCAAAGATGTAGAGATCATAAGTCTCTTAAGGATCGTTTCCCAGTTAGGGATCTCTTTCCCTGCCCCGCCAGATTGGCACCACAGGGTTGAGAGACTATGTCTTTCTTTCGTCATTGACTTGTGGCAATTCTGCCGCTAAAACCTTTAAATGACAAAGCTTTGGGCCCTGTTGAATGTCCGGTTTCCCGGCCGCGGAACTAGGCCCTAGCTCGCTAACGTGACATAGCTTTTAGGGTGTACAGCTGAAACTGCACTTTATTCCACTGACTAATTATTTTCCACTAACTAATTAATAGATCATTTATTCTTTAGGTATTTTTCCGGATGGCGGTGTCCCCTTCCCTACAAGTAAGGGGGAACCCAACCCAGTGCGTCCACTAGGTACTTAGATTATAAGTTTATGATCATTTCCATCAATTCCTTTAGTTTCATTAAGTTTCCTTTACTAGCTGCTAGCGTTCGAAGTACTTGTTCAGGCGGCCGAGACCAGTAATCCTCTGTAAGAGGACAGTCAAGTACGTAATGTCTCGCGTCCCCGTGAGAACTCTCACAGGAGCAGCTACCATCTCCTTGCCCGAAACGGGACTTGAAGTGGGGAAACCTCCCGTGGCTGGTCAGTAATTGAGTTGTGAGCCCATTGCAGCACACCGGAGTGAGGCCAACTACAGGCACGAAGGCGTAGGTTGACCTACCTACTGTACTTTGATTCCAGCGCTCTTGCCAGATGGTCATCGATCGTTTCCGCAAGGTACCTTTGATATAAACTGCCGAGGGTTCAACCGTCCTCGTTATAAAAGGACCGCTAGCTCCCGCCTTTGCTAGCTGATCGGCAAGCTCGTTACCCAGGATCCCGGTGTGGCCTCGGACCCAACACAGAGTAACTTGTTGCTCGTGCCTCACCCTCAGCACCTTGCGTCTGATCTCGTGTACCAGCGAATTGCGATGGTACCCGTCGTTCAAAGCCTGTAGCGACGACTGGCTATCAGAGTAAACCGTGACCGGCTCTGGACCCGGATGTAATAGGATCCACTGGGACGCCCCCCCCCTAAGGCCACCAGTTCTGCCTGGAACACAGACTCTTCCTCATTCAATCTGACCGATTGTTCGTACACTTGCACTCCGTTACAGAAAACACAGAATGTGGCACCTACTAAGCTGCCATCTTTTGAGCCATCGGTGTATATTTCAACACCCGTACCAGTCGGTTCACCGACTTCCCAGCCAAGTCCAGTCCGTTGGGCCGGATGGACTTTGAAAACATCTACTCTCTGCCTAAGTCTGGCTGGGTACTTCTGATTACAATGCGTTGCCTCTAATCCTTCTACTGTGGTTCTGTAGAAGGCCGCCTCTTGGCTGACTACCAAGGGCAGCGGGAGCAGCCCGGCCAAGACCAGGGCCGCATCCGTAGACACAGTTCTGTAGGCTCTCGTGATCCATAGGGCAGTGGGCCTTTGGATCATGAGCAGCGTCCTGCTCATTTTTACATTGGCGGTGTCTTTCCACCAAACTCCACAGGCATAGCAGATGACTCGCTCCACACACCTCTTGTAGATGGTGCGGAGCGCTTCTCCACCTAAGCCATAATCCTGTCTCGCTAGTCTTGATAGTGCTGCTATCATGAGGTTCGTCCTTTCACGGACGTTCCTCAGATGGGGCGTCCAGCATAGTGTCTGATCGATGATAACACCGAGGTACTTAATCTCACTCACCCTTCTGATGGGGTTTCCCCAGATCCGGTATATTGGTCGGCGGGCCAACACTTTAGACCGGGCCACCGTCAGGGCCTCCGATTTCTCGGGGCTGAAAGAGAGCTTGTGCAGCTCTCCCCAGCGAACGAGTTGTTCTATTGCTTCATTGCCGCAACTCTCCATGTCGCTACGGCTGTAACCGGCAACTACTAATAAC